GTGGATGATGAATCCCCAAGAGGAAGGAGAGGTGGTGAGAGCCTTCCTTCCAGAGCTGCCTTACCCTCTCACTAACACGTTTCAGCAGCTCTTCCACTTCCTCCATCGCCGCCACCTCCCTCTGGTACTGGTTCTCTGTCTTCTTCCTTGTTTCCAGGTCGCACTCGGCCGTCAACGCCACCATCTTCCGGTCATACTCCTCCTGCACTTCTTTCTCCAGCTTCAGAAACTGCTTTTTGAAAACAGCGCCCATCCTCCTCTCTGCTTGAGGGGAGAGGTGGCCCCTGCTGGTCAGGTCTCTCAGCAGCAGGGCAATGACGTCTTTGCTGATTTGGGTTCGACAAGCCTCCAGATCTGAGTCGGCCCGATTCAGGGTTGCAATCTCCAACCTGGGAGACACAAAGGCCGGGAGAGTTCATCACGTCAAGTCGCGATGGAAACCAGAGGCCCCTCAAAACTCTGAGGCTTCCGATCATTCGCAGGTCAGGCCTTTCTTCTTTCCTTTCCCTCCTCCACTCCCTCCCTTCTGCTCCTGCCAGTGCCTCAACGCCGGGGCTCAGTAGAAGATTTTAAAAATACGTTTTTACTGATTTTAGAGTGCGGCAAGAAGAGAAAGAGAGAGAGAAACATCGATGCCAGAGCAAAGATCAACAGGCTGCCTCCTGCACGCCCCGACTGGAGACCAAGCCTGCAACCCTGGCATGTGCCCTGACTGGGAATTGAACCAGTGACCTCTCAGTGCACGGATGTTGCTCAACTGAGCCACACCAGTCAGGGCTGAGGGGCAGACTCTTCAGTAAACATGCAGGGGGCCGTGCTAGGAGCCGCTCGACCATAACTAATATAAGATACGGTTCTTGTCAACAACGAGACAGGGAAAAAGGGAGAGTTAATATATTAAGAGGATTTTAAAATAAAGTTTAATGTAATATGCTGCCCTGGGTGGGATCCTGGAACAGAAGAAGAACATGAGATAAAAACTAAGGAAATCTAAATAAAGTACAACTTTAACGACAAATAAATATCGGTTCATTAGCTGAGCTCTCTGCTGTGTCTGAGCCCAGTTTCCCGGCCGGTCAGTGAGCATACGATCACCGTGTCAACGAAGGTTACTGAGATGAATAACTGCCCGAGCGCAGCTTTGTTCTAACAGCCTCGTGAACATCAAGCCATGTGCTCCTCACAAGCCTGTGAGGCGGGTGATTAACGCTCCCTTTACAGGTGAAGAAACTGAGGCACAGACACGTTAAAGTTCTTTGTCCAGAGCAGCACAGCTATTCAGGGGCAGCGCTGGGGTCTGAAGCCATGACATGCGGCTCCGAGTCCTTGTTCTACCCTTTGTCCTAGGGGCTCGCACCAACATGCACCCCGCTCCACCCCGCCAGACTGGGCGTCTGTCTTCTCCGTGAATGCTGAGCTCCTGGGGTTTTATCGGGGTTTTAGGATAAAGACTGGAGGCGGAGCTGCTCTAGGTAAACACCTTGCACTGGCTGCAAGCGACCCTCCAGCCCACGTCCCCAGACTCCTGCCACCTGGCCTGTCCCCTTTTTAATCGTCAAATGCCACCCCCCGAGCTCTGCGCATGCTGCCCCCATGGAGTTCTCACCACTCAGGTCAAGCTTAACTGACCCTCGCTTAGAGGGGCCACCTGAGCCCCCAAACTAGAGCAGGCCCCCCACCATTCCTGCTCCTGTACTGCCCTTGCCCCAGGGGCGAGTGGGCAGCGACTGGCACTGTGTTTGTGTCTTGTTGTGAAGTTCACGAGGACAGAAGCCAAGACCGTAGCACCCAGCAGGTCTGCCACCAGGCCCGGCGCAGAAGGTGCCCGGCGAGAACCTGCTGAAATAACCAATCCGTTAATTAACTTTTGAAAATCGCTGCACCACGAACAAAGAACCCAATGAAAGGATAAATGTACAAAAGAAAATGTGGGCGAGCGGCTTCAGGGTTTGGCGCGGGGAGCAGAATCACAGCTCGGAGACAGTTTCTACGGACTGAAAAAGACGGTGATTGTGAGACACATCCCACGGGCGGCACACAAAAAATGACTCAACAGCCATTTGCAACAGGCTCAGTTTAACACAGCCCCGCTGAACCCCGCTTTGTACCGAACGTAATTCCGAGACAGATTAGAAGGCGGTGTTGGTAGCAACAAAAGACAGCGATGAGCGTCCTTCGAATAACAGGAAATAAACACGGGCTTGGAATGTCCTTCTCCCGCTTTTCTCTGCCTCTCTGGAAAAATCTCAGCTCGATCTTTATAAAATGCCATTGTGTCAACAGAACAGTGGACTGGAAAGCAGTCAGGCCCGGGCCCACATCCGTGACCACTCGTGTGACCGTAGGCAAAACCAATAAACCTTTCCAAATATCACACTTCCTTGCGACAGTTGCTTTGGGAATTAAATGAGATCATGGGCAAGAGGCGTCAGGGTCAGAGCGAGGCCAGGGCTGAAACTCCGCCGCGACCAGCCAGCGGCCCCGTTCCTCCTTCCTCCTGTCCCGGCCTCCCTGGGGCTGAGCCACTTCCATCGGGACAATGGTCCAGGAGCCTGATAAAAATCAGAGGAGCCCTGGTCAGTGTGCTCAGTGGTTAGGGCATTGGCCCACACACCAAAGGGTTGCAGGTTCGATTCCCAGTCAAGGGCAGGCTCTCTCACATCAATGTTTCTCCCTCTCTCCCACTCCCTCCCTTCCACTCTCTCTAAAATCAATGAAAAAAATACCTTCAGTTGAGAATTAACAACAACAAAAATCAAAGGAAATGTCCCTTCCTCAAGTCCTCCCTGTGGAGGTAGGTGGCCTCTAAATAAACAGCATGACAGAGAAACAGCTAAGCAAGCCAAGCAAACATTCTCTGTCAAAAATAAGTCTGCGGGACAGCAACGCAACGGCCCTGACGGGTCTCAGAAGTGAGGCGGCAATCAAGTCACTGAAGGGCACACTCACAAAGCCGGCCCACCCCCCTGTAAGAACGACAAAGGGGCTAAGTGATTTGCGGGAGGAAAGAGCTATTTTTAGCAGGGAGACAGCAGATTTCCACGCACATGGAGCCCCCGATGTGACATTTTCTTTCTCTTTTTTAACCCTCACCTGAGGATTAAACTATCACCTGCTCGGGAAGCATTTCCATGGCCCTCTCAGAGGTAATTAGTTCTTCTGGGCTCCGCGGAGCCCGGATCTTCCCTTTAGCATGGTGCTCACCAAACTTTCCTGGGCACTAGGTCGGAGAGCCTCAGAGCACAAACCACGTCTTAGTCACCTCTTTTCCCAAATACCAAGCATAGTGCTCAGCGCACAGCGGTTGTCTCGTTGTGACTACTGAGTGACGAATGACTGAACGAATGGATTCAAATTCACAAATGAGTGACATATACTCAGTGTTCACTCTCAGGCCACTAGAGGTAAAACATTCATCGCCCCCGAGAGAGTGCATGTGGTTTGAATTCTTACTCTTCCAAGGCTTGCAGCATGCTTCCCAAGTCCTCCGAAGACAGAATGTCTACCATCTGGTCATTCAGAGCCAGATCCTCATTCATACCATCGGCTGACGTGAACTGCGAGTGCTCCAGCTTGCTCTCGTGATGCTGAACCTTCAGGAGAATTTCAGAAACAGTTGAGTAGGCCTTCTCGGGAATGTCACATGCTAGAAAAGGTATGAGGGAAGGTGGGAACCCATCGTCAGAGAACCTGGCTGGCCTCACCACTTGTGAGCAGGGTAAACTCAGGCAAGACACTGCACTTCCCTGAGTCTCTATTTTCTCATCAAAGAAATGGGATCATAATTCCATTAACTCTGCACAGAGTTATGTGGATAAAACAAAGCAATGAATGGACAGACCATTGCAACCTGTAAAGAGCTATAAAAATATTTCATCACCACCATCACCACCACCACCACCATCACAACCACCACCACCACCACCATCACAACCACCACCACCACCACCATCACAACCTTTACTATCACCACCATCACCACCTTTATTACCATCATCATCACCACCACCATCACCATCATCATCACTATCACCACCATCACCACCTTCATTACCATCATCACCACCATCACAACCACCATCACAACCACCTTTACTATCACCACCATCACCACCTTTATTACCATCATCATCACCACCATCACCATCATCATCACTATCACCATCATCACCACCACCGTCACCACCTTCATTACCACCATTATCATCACTATCACCCTCACTACCATCACCATCGTCACCATCACCTCCATCATCACCACCATCATCATCATCATCACCACCACCACCATCATCATCACCATGATCATATAGAGGAAAATTCCAGTTGGCAGATGGACTTCAACATCAAAGCGTGGCAGGTTTCTGATGAGAATACAGAATTCTAAAATACAAGTGACTGACCAGCGAGGTCTCATTCACTCCCTCACACGTGTATTGAGTGCCTTCTAAGCACTAGGCTCTGTACCGGGCAATGGGGATTGTAGCAGACGCCATCTGTTCTCTGCCCATGTCCCCACACCCTTGTCACTTCAGTGCCCACTAGCCCAAGATCCACCAGCCAATACCTACACTTCCTTCCCTGAAAGCTTTTGCTGGCCTTCAGAGCCCAAGCCTGGGAAATGTCACCTTTCATCTTGCCCCTGACCTTGTCCTTAACCAATAAGCAACGGGACTTGGTGGATAAATACCGCAGCTCCTTCTCCGCTTGGGTGGATGACTGTGAGGTTCATTCCATGGTCCCGGTTCCCGAGCAGAATAAAGCTCCAGGTGGCCCGGGGCTAACTGGATCAGCTGCCTCAGTCCCCCAGCCCTCACCATTATCCCCTGGGGTCACTTCCCATATAAACTACCTGCATCTGGAACCTGGTCTCAGGATGTGCTTCTGGGGAAACCCAGACCAAGACAGGAATATGGAGACTGAAGAGTTCACAGAGGGCCCCACAGATCAGGGTAAGTGCTGCGTGGGGTCTACAGACCTAGCGTGGGAACCCAGAGAGAAGCCCCTAACTCAGCCAGGAAGTGGCCAGTGATGACTTCCAGGGACAGACAAGGCCCGAGCTGAGTCTTGAAGAATGGGTCAAAATTATGCTCACTGAGGAGCAGAGAGGGGACTGTGCGGAGAGCTCAACTTCCCAGGGAACGCCAAGCCACTGGGGGGAGGGGATGCTGTGGTGTGGGGCGGGAAGTGGCAGGAGAGGTGGGGAGAGGCAGGACCCTGGGGCTTTACGAGCCAGGCCTGGGAGGCCCGGCTTCCCGAGGATGAAGTGAGCCTCAGGAGTTTCAGCAGGGAGCGTGGAACGGAACCGGAATTAGGGTGCGGCAAGGCTACGAAGCCGGCCACACAGCGGGGCGCTCAGTTATGCAGCTGGACTGCAGGGGTTCTCAACACTGGCTATTTGCTAGAATCATCCAGGTTGCTTTTCAAAATGACTCATCATGGGGATACTTCAGTGGACAATCCAATCAGAGTGTCAGCAGGTAAACGTGGACATGAACATTCGTCCACATTTCCCCAGGGGGCTCTGATGTCCATCCAGGGCTGAGACCCACTGACCCAGAGGATAAACTTCAATGTCACACCCAGCACCCAAAGGACCCCTCTGGGAAGAAGATGCACATGGAGACTCACCTGGTGTCTGGCGAACACGCTTCCCTTCAAACACTGACATCGAACCATGAAGAAAAGTGTGACCCAGGTCAGCACAAGGGAGACCACGAAGGCCACGAAGAACCCGACTGCGTGAAGGCCATGGTTCGGGAGAACCTATGGGGACAAGAGAGAAACAGGGGCTCGCCTATGGTCACACTTTATAGCTTTCAAGTTGAGTTATGACTTACCTATGGAGAAACAAGGATAGAGCCAGCGAGACCTACCTGGGGGGGGGGGCCCAGCTTGCCACCTACTAGCTGGTTCCCTTGAGAGAAGTCCAACTTATCTTTTTTTCCCGTTGCTGTGCTTTTGGTGTCATAACCAAGAAATTGCCAATCCAATGTCAAGAAGATTTCCCTGTTCCCTTCTACAAGTTTTATAGTTTTAGATCTTATATGTCTTCGATCCATTTTGAGTTAATTTTGGTATACGCTGTAAGGCAAGGGCCCAACTTCATTCTTTTGCACATGGAGATCCAGTTTCCCCAACATTATTTGTTGAAATGACTGTCCTTCCCCCATTGAATGGTCTTGTCACTCTTGTTGAAAATCATCTGACTATACATACGAGGTTTTTCCTGGGTTTTTGATTCTATTCCATTGGTCCGTCTTTATGCCAGTACCACACTGTTTTGATGACTGTAGTTTGTGATAGGTTTTACTTTTATTTATTTTTTAATCCTTACCCGAGGATATTTTTTCCATTGCTTTTCAGAGAGAGAGAGTGGAAGGAGGGGCAGGAGAGAGAAAGAGAGAAGAAACATCGGTGTGAAAGAGACACATCGATTGGTTGCCTCCCGCCTGCTGACGACCGGGGCAGGGACTGAGCCTGCAACCGAGATACATGCCCGTGGCCAGAACTGAACCTGGGACCCTTCAGTCCACAGGCCGACGCTCTAACCACTGAGCCAAACTGGCTAGGGCTTGTGGTATGTTTTAGAATCAGGAAGTCTGAGGCCTCCAGCTTTGTTCTTTTTTAGATTTTTGGTGGCAATTTGGTTCCTTGAGATTCCATATGAATTTTAGGACGGGTTTTTCTCTTTCTACAAAAAGATGCCCTTGGGATTTTGACGGAAATGGCATTGAATCTGTAGGTCATAACATGAGGTCTTCCGGTCCATGTGCAAGGAAGGTTTTCCATTTAGCTGTGCCCCCTCTAATCTCTCTCAGCAGCGCTTTAGCGCTCAGCGTACAAGCCTTTCTCCTCTTGGCTGAGTTCACTCCGAAGCACCTCACTCTCTTTGATGCAACAGTAAATGACTGTGGAAGGCAAGAGGCTAACGTGTTAGCAATGCTTCTCTCTGCTGGCGAGGTTACCGGGTAATGTTATTTCATTTCTCCAGCTTTCTCTCTCTTATCCCTCCTGCCCCCGGCCCCTGGTGTCAAGGGGATGTTTCCTCAAAATGTCCACAATGGACATATACAGGGTGTCCCAAAAAAATGTCTACACACTTTGAATAATTATTCATTCCAATGGCTTAAATCTGGAAAGAAACATCAACTAAAGTATCATCTGTTAAGTGCATACATTTTTTTGTGACACGATATATTAAATCCCATCCATCTACCCCCCTTCCCAAAAAAAAACCACCACCAAAAACCAGAAGTAGTTTGAATGAAAGGGGAAACCATACAGCATGATTTCTCTAGAAGGATTTTAGGAGTCAGCTAGATCCTTCACTGTAAGCTAAGGATCCAAGCGGCAGAGGGTCAGGGCCAGGCTGACCCTTGTCCCATAGCCATTGGGGAGCAGCTCTGGGGGCAGGGACTCCTGTCTCCCCAGCCGACAGTTCTGGAAAGAGCGAGAGCTTGAAGGTAATCGTAAGTAGAGACACTCACACCCATTACTAAGTTACCGATCAGGCGACTAGGTGGATGAGAGAACCACTGCTCTGTGTGATTCGGGTCCTCGGGGCTGCCACCAAGCTTCAGGACCTCGGCCAGATCCTGGAGCCTCTGGGACCTAAATTTCTCCCTCTTAGATGAGAAAGTGAAACTAGGTAATCTTTAAAGTTTCTTCCAAAGAGAAAAATCTATTCTGATGTCAACAAAAATGCATTAAGTGCCAACCAATAATCTCCATGTCACAGAGACAAGGTTTACCAGGTGTCCCAATGTCATGGGGTCCTGGTAAAGGGAGCCACCAGCATGCCCGGGGGGAGGGAGGGTCAGGAGTCACAGAGGAGACAGTCAGGATTTGCAGGGTGTTTAGGAGTCATCCGAAGGACAGGCAGGCAAAGAACAGCAGGTGCCAAACCAGAGCGGTGTGGGAAGCAGGCCAGGGGCACCGGGAGACCGCAGGGGTCACCCTGCCTGAGGGATACGAACACTAACCCCCGGGAACTGGCTTCATGGGCAGGCAGTGGGGAGCCCTCCAGAACAGGAAGCCAGCAGGGTTGTGTTTTAGGGTGACCACGACAGTGAGGACGACGGGCTGCGCGGGGAGCAGGATTGACAGGTGGGAGGCTGGCGCAGTAACCCCAACCGGACAAGGCGGACGTGGGTGCCCACCGCCAGGCCTCCGAGCTCAACTCAGAGCCACGGGCTTTCGCCCAGAGTGACACGCTCCCTCGCTGGGCTCAAATGCACACGTCGCAATTGCTTGTACTGGAGAAACTCCCATATTATACGTAGCTATCTACTGAGGTGTTCTTACTAATAGGAGATTAAGTCCCTTTTTATGTATGTTACAAATACTTTCCCAATTTGTCATTTACCTTTCTTCACACTGTTTTTAAATGTAACGTTTTCAACTATTTCTGTACTCAAGTCCATGGGTTTCATATATATCATATATATGAAGTTCATATATGTCATATATGATATATGTCATATATGATATTAACCTATACTTACTTTTTACAAACTTTTTATGTATCTAGATGTTAACCTGATGAGGGAATTCATGTTTAGTTTTCTTTCAAAAGATCTAGTCAAGTTTATGAAGGATGGCATTCTTCACATCACATGTCATAGCGAGGTCACTGTGGCTTCGATCGAGACCCCGTTCCCCTGTGCGTGGCACAGTGCCCGGCCCTCCCGCGGGCTCCTGTGATTAACGTGAGAAGCTGCAGTGACATCCAGCATCGTCGGAACACCAGCCCTCAGCGTCCAGCCTGGCGTGGGGTGGCTCTTTTCCTTTCAAAGAGACTCTATCGAGGACACAGAGCGGTAAGAAGGGGAACCAGGAAGCCACTTCTCGGGCCTCGTTTTCCTTGGCTGATGTCAGTTTCACCCTCAGGACAGTAAGGAGTGTGGCTGGATCCCAACTCACGGGATGGATTACTGATGACTTAGCTCTATTTTTTAACTGCTTGGTGACAATGTCAGGGGAGCCTCTATCCTCACAGCCGAGCCTCTCCTATTCATCCCTGTCACACTTCCCAGGTATAAAGACGTCCTCTTTGCAGGTGCCACGTCCACCTGCTACAACGCACACTGACTGGCAAGGGCCCTGCCTCATCCTACGTGTGTCTCAATGGTGCCAGGCACTGTGCCTGCTCCTCCGTTCACATTCGACCAACAAACTGGCTTGGCAGAAGTCAGGTTTCCAGTCACATATTTTAGAACATCCCTCCTCTCTCTCTAACAAAATCCTTCCTTTAAGGTCCAACTGAATTCTCACCTCCTCCAGGAAGTCTGCCATCCAGCCAACCCACAGAATTTTTTCTCCTGGCAGTACCCACAGTGCACACAATCTATCTACGAGCTGTGAGGGATTGAACTGACGAAGAGAAATGCGAAAGTGCTAATGGTGACCGGCAGGAGCGGGGAGACCTGCCCACGGACTGCAGAGCTCCGGGAAGGTTCCAGGAGACAAAACACGCCTATCAGCCGGCCCAGCGGCAAACACTGCAGGGCGGGTGTGAACAGAAATGCAGATGGAGAGGCCATGCAGGAACTAACGGCACAGCCTCAGGCCACCGCGGGGACCCACCCTGCGCGCGGCCCCAGCCTCGTGGGGGGCAGCAGCGGCCCTCCGCGGGCTCTGGGAACAAGACACCCTGCGTCACAGACATGAAAAGACCCGGGGCAGCAGGGGTGTCGGGTTGGGTATTTCTCTCACCTTTACCTTGTCCTCTGCAGTGATGGTGAACGGGGCTTTCAGCTGTGTTCTGTTCTAGAAAAAAACCGTAACAAAACACTTTGGTCAACAGGTCCTGGAGTCCGACGCATGGGGCAACACTGGTGTATGTCCCACCCACTGTGCCTGGAGCTGTAAGGGGCCCGTGACCGTTGGGGGTCAGAGCTTGAAGGGGTCTTACAGTCCCTTCGGGGGAAAAAGGTCGGAACCGCAGAGCCTCCTCTCCCAGAGGCTATGTGGGATCTGAACCCCGGTCTCCTTACTGAGAAAGGCGCTGGCAGTGCCCTTCGGTGCCACGCTCAGCGCTGGGGTCGGGCCAGACCGCCCAGGTCATCACTGGGTCACACTGTGTGTGTTTCTTTCCGTCTTCCAACATCATGTGCAAGACACACACAGCATGAGAAATCAACCTCTAGGATTAGTTATCATTATAATGACCCTGTGTCAGGGCCCAGGGGCTGAGTGATTATTCAAGGTCATAATGAGCTGCTAAGGGACCCAGGTTCACGGCAAAGTGTGTGAGATGCCTGGGCCTGTGCACTTATCTGGAATTTGATATCATTG